CCCCGCATAATTTCTTCACATCAAAGTTGTATACTTCGAGTATGATCATAATCTATCGTTGGGATCACTGCCTGGAATTTATGCTAATAAAAACAAAGCAAAACTTGCAGTTGCTCGCAGAAACATTTCTAAATCAATAAATATTATCTGCAGAGATCAACTGCACTGAAGTTTGAGCCGTGTAGGATAACACTATTTGAAAATTCAGCTATTATAGCACAGAAATTACTTACGCTTTATATTCAAAAACCCTTTTCTCCTGATTTCTTTCTTTTCATCAGCCATCCTTCCTGAGCTATTTTCCCTCCTACTCCCTCCTTTTCGCTTTATTTGTGAGTCTAGAGTTAGCGTTCTAGCCACTCAGGTATGTCTAGGAAAGCCCTTTCCCTTTGCATGGGGCACATTCTCTCTGGGGGGTTTTCTTAATTTTTTATTACAACTTCAGCAGGCACTGATCAAATTCGTCCACGGAAGAACGGACTTATAGCGTAATCTATCCAAACTCAATTCTGCGTGCAGTTAGAGCATCTGACGAAGTATTAATCTTACGATGTTGGAGATAAACGAGAATGGAGGCCCGAACCCCTCCCTTTCTTTTACTTCGTTTTTTATTTGATAAACGGCTGCGAAGAATATTGTTTCACAAATTACACTACACTACCCACTACGCATAACCTCACAAAGTACGCCATTCTCCAGCCAATTCCTTATATTTAATTTGTATTTAGGAGGGGAGCAATCGGAAGAAGCGAGATTAAGAAAATTTCATCAGGAGGAACTAGCTGTTGCTGTCAAAGCGGTTATTCCACCAAAAAACTTCTTAGAAGCAAGCTGAAAGCGACAGTCTGAATCCTACCAGTATCAAATCATTATCAAACAAACTTCCGTGCAAGTATGAAAAATACCTGGACGAATTTCAAAAATATAAGGAGATACTGCTCGACGACGAGTTCCTTGCCTGATTCAGCAAGCTGCCCGATCAGTCGCTTCATCACTTCTGCATGGCGGCATGGATGAATGGAGGCCATCGAAGTTTGCAGATGTGTATGATATTCTATTGTGATCGTTTTGTTAATATGATCCTCAAATGATACAAAAAATGGCCAATAAGCGGTCAATATAAGCAAGCGGCAAATTTTGCCAACAAAAGCGCACCACATTTGTTTGAAAATGAATTAATCCCAAAAAAAATGTAAACCTGCGAAAAATCTTCGCTCATTTTTTCCACACTCAGTGCTTGGCCGTCTTCATCGTATCCACACAACCAAAGACGAGGCACCTGAAAAGATTCACAAATCATGGGAACTACGCCCCAAGACGATGAACAGTGAGCAGGAATTACCTGGTAATATTTATCATAAGTGATGTGGAGATCGTAAGTGCGTGTATGGATGACGTTATCGGCATCACTCGGAACTTGCTCGTCCTCTTTCACAATAAACCTGTAATATTCGAGTGCGTGTAATGAAGGCTCTGCCATAATACAAAATTGCTGTTCCAGAAATCTTGAGTTTTTTTGGAATTTTGAAGTTTTTCTTCGGGAATATTTGAGTATTTGTAACAACGGCTATGCCATAATAAAGTATTTAAGAATCTTGAAAGACTTTTTATCGCTTTGAAAAACCTTCATTGATATGCACCTGTTGGGATCGTCATCTTCAAGACCACCTTCCGCAATGAAAGCATCCATGTCCAGTGCCGCGCCTTCCTCACCGTTCCCTCCCGTTTTTCCTGCCTGAAGAAAGCAGCTGCATTTGTAAACAGCAATAACAAACAAAGGCACGCAGTGCACAAAATTCAGCCGCAAACGGCTCAAAAATAAGAACAAAATAAACTTTTATGATTTTTTGGTTAATATGAGAAACAAGAACAAATGGGCAAAACAAATTACTGCGTGATATTCATGCCGGTTTTTACAAAAGGAGGAAAATGTCAGGGGAGTGAAAGGATGCGTATAAATGACTCTAATTGGAGCTACCGCAATGCGACAAGCCAAGAACGAAGAATGGGAAATTAATCAGGGAGGAGAAAACTGGCCAACTACAAAAAATCTCACAAAACAATTTGACAAATAAAAATAGTAGCAGCAGCACGAGAGCACTTTAAGCAGAAAAGCTGTGACGCAGAAAATGAAAAAAATTCAATACATGCTTTAGTGAAAGCCTGGGTAATGTGCAAAGACAATTCATGACAATTTTTCTACAAACATGTAACGTGAAAGAATAAAAATTATACCTCGCAAGGAGGTTTACTGGAAGCTTCCTCATCCATTGAAATGGCTTTCTGGCTGACGCCGAGCGCGAAATGGTGCGTATCCACCCAACCTTCTTCGTCTTCAACATCCTTAAAATCACCGCAGTTAATGAGGAATAAAGAGCGGAACGGAGAAAGGGAATAAAAATGTAAATTGTTTACAAGTACAGCTAAGCACGCGTGGGAAAGTTAGTGGAGCCGCTGAATTTTTTCTGAGTCGCCTTTTATGAATTTTACTTTAGCAGTAACCCTCCCTCTGAAACAGATTTATTCAAATGGTCCGTTTCCAAAAGGATCCTCATTTTGTGCGAATTTATTAGTAAAAGTTCAGAGATCAACAACTCTTCAGAAGTTTCTACTTACAGGCAAAAACAATCTGCACCAGAAGCTCACCTTTCCTTGCTCTGGATTATATTCCATATCGATGCAGCGCCTGTGGCATGGAACATTTCGCGTTATTAGAAACTGCTTATCCACAGGCAAGTAAGATTTAA